GGGATGGCCCTGGTGGAAGACGAGGTGGCCGGGGGTGGCGATGGCGGCGGCGATGGCGGGGGGCGGGGGGCTGTGGGGCGGGTAGAGGAAGAGAAAGAGGGTTCTGTCTCACCGACGGGCGGGCCATGGCAGGACAAGGGCATGCTCCACTCGCGTCTGTCCGGCCGCAAACTCGGCCGAAACTTGAGCCGGGAATGGGTCGAAAGCGGGCAGAAAAGGGACGACGGTCCGCTTGCAGCCGCACATTGGGAGGCCCGATCTGTCCATTTACCCCCAAACGGACGAGGGCGGACAGATGGGGTCGCGTGTTGGAGTTGGCCTCACAACATTGGCCATGTTGAAAACTCGATCGTTCGCTTTGAATCATTGGTCATCGGCCAAGGGAGCGCCCCCCCCCCACCCTATTGCAATACCGCTCATGTTGCAAACCCCATCGCAACACGGACCATGGATTGAGGTGATCATATTATTCAAATTCATTGATCACTTTTGATTTAATCAACTATTAAGGTAGTACAAAGGACATCAGAAATAACAGAGATTACATATAGGTCCGTAGACCACCTAGCGATGACTTACAATCACTTGAGCGAGCCGAAGTCATGCTGCTGGCATAGCCCCTCTCGCCGGATCCGGGCAAACCTAATCTAGACTAGATCCGTTCAAAAAAAAGTAGTCTAGACTAGATCTTCTCACATTCCTGTACAAGTTCCACTCATGATAGCACTAGGGATCCTTTTTGCTTCAGTGAGATGCATACTTGGTGTCACATCGCTTTGGAGGTCTATCAGAAATTGAGCCAGGCTTAAATTTCGAGGCATCGTGCCTTGCGAGTTCAGGTGGCACAGAACTATTGCTCTGTACAAGCATTTGCTTGAGATCAAAGAAGATGTCTCTGTCCTCTAGAGTCAAAAATGAAGTCGCGAGCCCCTTCTTCCCCGCGCGCCCTGTTCTTCCAATACAATGCGTGTATGTGTCAACCGAACTGGGCATCTCATAGTTGATCACATGGGCAACATCAGGGATGTCGATGCCACGCCCCGCGACGTCGGTGGCCACGAGCACGTTGAACCGACGGTTCCTAAACCCATCGAGGCTGATCTCCCTCTGATCTTGTGACTTGCCACCATGCAGCGTTGTGACGCGGAATCCCAGCCTCTCTAGATCTTTGGCACGGTCGTCCACCGACCTCTTTGTATTGCAGAAGACGACGGCTGTCTTGTCCCCCCCAAGATCCGCCATGATCTTCCGGAGCCGTGGCATCTTGTCCGACTCCTTCACCATGATCACGCTCTGAGTTACGAGGCCCGTGGCGCTGCCAGCCGTGCCTATGGTAACGACGACGGGGTTCCGGAGGTACTTCTTTGCAAGGCGCTCCACAGCAGGTGGCATGGTGGCACTGAACATGTAGGTAGTCCTGTAGATCTTCTTCTCGTCCAGCTCCTCTTCCGCGTTCTGAGGCTTCAGGTTGCTAGATGGCATCGCATCAAGGACGCCGGCGACCTGTGGCTCAAAGCCCATGTCGATCATCCTGTCAGCCTCGTCAAGCACGACATAGTTGCACTGGTTGAGCACAATGTATCTTCTCTCCAGGCAGTCAAGGAGCCGGCCAGGCGTGGCAATCACAACCTCACAGCCCTGCCTAACCTCGAATCCCTGCTCCTCAATGGATTGGCCGCCGACGATGGACACGACCTTAATTCCTAGGTAAGTCGAAAGCTTGGTGGTCTCTCTCTCGATCTGCTGAGCGAGCTCGCGAGTTGGTGCCATCACAAGAGCATAGGGACCTTCGGCGGCTTCGGCGTCCGTAATGGGTGGCAGGCGGCTAATGTAGGATAGCATGGGGAGCACGAACGCGGCGGTCTTCCCCGAGCCTGTCTCGGCGACACCGATAACATCGCGCTGCTGCAGACCGAGTGGGATGGTGGCCATCTGAATCGGAGACGGTTTCTTGTAGCCAACCTTGTCGATGGCACGAAGCAGCCTGGCTCCAAGCTTGCTCTCTTTCCAGTCCCGCATCGGCCGGGGCAGGCGGGAGCCCTTGTAGGAGATGTTGAAGTCCTCGCGGAAAATGCGCCAGTCCCGCTCGGTCATCTCCTCGGCCGCCTTGTCGGTCCAGTGCCTGTCCACGCGCATGCCAAAGGAGTCGCGCATCTCCGCCTTCTTCTTCGTGCTTTCTTCGGGGCTGGTGTCGCGCCGCAGCTCGACGCGGTTCTCCTTCTGGGCTGCCGCTTTCTTCTGCTCGCGGCGGTCGATACCAGCGAGAAAGCCTCGGCCGTAGAGCAGCAGCGGCGACTGATGGAGCGCGTTCGTGTCGCAGCTGGTGTCGTCCGTGTTCTCCCAGTCGAACGAGAAGCGGAACTTGGCCGAGGGTTTCATGGAGACCGTCCTGGTCTTGGTCTTGTTGGACCCTAGGTACTGCTCCCTGATCGTCTCCCGCAACTTCTCCGCCGTTTTCTCCAGCACATCTTTCTCTTCGCGGTCGCGGTGACGGAACGAGCCGCGCTTCTCTTCACGGTCGCGGTGACGGAACGAGTCGCGGTGGGAGGAGGAGGAGGATTCGCGAGCAGGCTTGGGCGTGGGAAGCGGCGGAGCGGCGCGGGGGAGCGACTCGAGGGCGAGTCGCTGGCGTTTTTCTGGGGAGAGATAAACTGGCCGTGCCTCCTCCAACTCGAGCGACCGCTTCATCATCATGGCGGCAGAGATCGAGACGTTGCGTTCGATTCTGCGGTTCTGCCTGTCTCTATGCACGGCCGGGGCGGGGCGGGGCTGGGTGGGGAAAAGAAGAGAACAAGGCTTGCTACTTGTAGGCCCCGTGGCGCCGTCCGTCTCCGTGTCCAAAACATGGCACGTTTTGGTACTTTCAATTCAATACGCGTTTGGTACTATCTGTCATACCGTGCTCGACTCGGATAACAACTAAGAGTCGGTTCTATTTTTTTTTTTACGGGGTTGCTAAAGGAAAACTTTTTTCTAAACCGACTGATTTTACGCTGCCGCAAACCGCCTCGCGAGCCGTCGGGTCGACTCGAGATCGTCCGTTTCCAAGTCGTTGTGTGTGAGCAAGCGGGCCCAGGCCGTTTCGGTGTTGTGTTTCTTCCGTGACCTGTATCCATCGCAGCACATCATTCATCTCTCTTCTCTCGTCACACCAGATCCACCCTATCCTTCTGATGCGACACTCATCCATGCTCCTTCTTTTTCATAAAATGGGTGGTTTGGTTGTTGATCCATTAATCAAATAAATTAGGTCGTAAGATCGAATCATCGCGGTGGCGAGACGCCAGGACAGCAAAAAGCCGACGCGAGGGGCGGAGCGGAGGCGAGCGCATCTTCGTCTCAGACCATGGCCGGTGACGCCCCAGCGCACAGGTACTAGAGTCTCTCCTAAATCCATCTGGAAATGTTCGGATATTTGCGAACTCTTGGGGCCTGAGGTGCTCGTCGGAGCTGGTACCTTGGGGCGGAGATAGGGGGCAGGCCGGTTGGGGAAGGAGGAGGGGGGAGTTGGTGTTGGGCGGAGGTGTGTTTTTTGCTGTAGAGTAGATGGTGTTCAGATGTGTGGGTTCAGTACACAAGTTGTTATCTGTTGAGCACATGCATTTTGATACTGATTTTGCCAGCGAATTTTTATCATGGAAAATGCGGTTTATTTTGTTAGAATGGGATCCTTTTTGATTCAGTGCAGCAACATCATAGCCTACATTGTTTGAGCTAGCAAATTACGGCATAGAATTTTCAGATTTGTTGTATAATAGTTCAGACATTTCATCTTCAGTGCAACACAACATACAGGTTGAGTAGTGTTTTTAGTTCTGCTGCTTCTCTTACTGTAATTGTATAATAGTGCAGCAGAGCTATATGGCTCTTGCATTTGTTTAGTTTCTGAATGTGCTTCACTGTATGTGTGTAGCATGGTTATCGAGTCGCGACTCATGCGAGTCGCTCTGGGGCAGCGACTCGGAAGAAGTTGTGACTAGTCGCGACTTAGAGTCGCGATTCGACACTAAGCTGAGTCGACCATATTTTTGCGACTCATAGTGCGACTCGAAATCCATGGTGTGTAGTAGTTCAGCTGATGGCTCATTTTGCATTTTTTTAGTTTTTGCTTCTTCTTCACTGTCTTTTTATGCTGAACCGCAAATGAGATGCATGATCATTCTAGTTGGTATGCTGAACAGCAGCCCTGTATTTTTTACAGTGACGGGCTTCAGTTTTCTCGGTAATAGTAGTGTTTTTCGCAGCACATACTGATATTCATACTCATTGTTTTGAGGTTTTTATCTGTGATGACTGCTTCTTCTTTTTTTCATTCCTATTGCAATGGGGGCAGTGGTGCTTCATTTTCAAATCATTCCATATTTTTACATATAGTGTGTTTCATTTCGCTGTTGTTGTTGCATAGGTTTGTAACAAAGCGATATAATATGTTGTCGTTGTTGTTTTTTTTGTTTTTGCAGAGACTCAATAATGGATTATGAGGAACCTACTGATGGATCTTTCTCAACATGTGTTTTTGCCTCTCGGTTGTGTCTGGTTGCGCGGAAACATCTAAATGATTAAAAAGAGGGTAGTCATAAACAAGTCAGCTTCGGATCAATGATGAATATCGCCTCATTCTCTGTACCAGGTGAGCTTGAACCTTGCATTTTGGGCTTATGATTTACATGCATGGGGCAAGGTAATGTTCTTGGGCTTTTTTCATCAGTGTTTAATGGATTATATGATCTTTTGCAGTTGCTTATATGATGTTGTTTCATCACATAGTGTGACCAATGCAATGGGAGTGTTGTGTTTTATCCAAAGATTTTCTAAATGGTGTTGTTGCAGAGGTTTCATAAGGCAGTATAACAAGATCTCTTCTCTTTTTGTTGCAGAGCCTCAAGAGTGGATGATGAGATTGAAGAACCTACTGATGGGTCCTTCACAACATGTTTTTCAGCTTCTCGCTTGCGTCAGGTTGCTGAGAATATTCCCCCCCCCCTCTTTCGTACCAGATAAGCTGCTAGACCGGGTAATCATGAAGATTGACACTAAGCAGGGTTTGTTTAGGTATCAAAAATACCCCCACCCATCGCAGCTTTTTTGGATTTTTGGTTTTCTTTGTTGCAATGTTTTCATTTCTGAATAACATGTGTCTTTCTGCTTTTTCAGTCATAAAAAGAAAGATATATCTGTAGTTGAGCAGGCAAGGAACCACGACATTGTGATCATCGAGAGGTCTTGGGTTCTTTTATGCATCACGCTTGTGCTAGTGCTTCGCACCGGCAACATGGTGCCCTTGAGTACCTTGCTAGTCTGAAGGACATCGCTGAACTCGACGATTTTGCGTGGATGAGCACATCTTGGCTGCTGCGTTGAGAGAGGTGAAGAAGTACCAACACAAAGAAGGAGGCTTGGGGTTCCCAGCTTCTCGATTGGTCGTTGCCTACCAATGTCTCCCTACTTGTGCCAAGAGGTCCTGGGTTCGAACCAGCCTCTCTGCATTGCACTTTGCAGGGGTAAGACTAGGTTCCTATAATCCCTCCCCAGACCCCACCTTGTGTGGGAGCTTCTATGCACTAGGTCTGTCCTTTATTTTCTCTCCGACACATAATGGTCCTCTTTTTTCAAGTTCATTCTCTGCTCGCAACAAGCTCATAACCCCCTGATTTTTCCTTTATTTTTGCGAAATGCAGATAATATACATGGACCATATGGAGGTGCCACGATCATGCATTAGTGAGCAAATGGGGTGGTTCGCGCCGCACCAAGATGCCAATGCTCCTCCGCTGCGGCAAGGAGGTTGTGGCATCATGCTGCTGCTGCATGTGAGGTCGTCGAGCTGCGAGCTCATCTCCCTCAACTCTGGCGGCACCTACTGCCGTGCTGTGTTGCAACACCCCCGGCGCTGCCACTTGAGACTGTTGTGGCGGGGCGTCCGCTGCTGCTGCTTTGCAACACCACCGCTGCTGCAAGGGCTGTTGCGTGTGCGCGTGTTCAGGACATCTCCCTCAACTCTGGCGGCCGCCACCGCCATGCTAGTTGCAACACCATTGGTGCTGTCGGTGAAGGCTGCTGTGGCAGGGCTTCTGATACTGCTGCTTTGCAACAGCACCGCTACTGCAAAGGCTGCCGCGTGTGCACTGGACACGACAGGGCATCTCCCTCAACTCCGTCGGTCACCGTCCAAAGCTGCATTGGAACACTAGTGCTGCGATTGGATACTACTATGTAGTGGGCGTCTGGTGATGCTACTTTGCAACGCCAGTGCTGCTGCAAGGTCCATGACAGTGACGCGTGCTGCGATCCCAGTGGGGTTGCGGAGCTGCGAGCCAAATAGCTGTGAAACCGAGGGTTCGATGCTGCAATGGTTCATCGTCATCACTTACGCCCGTGCTACGAGGAGCCTGCCATTCGCTGATGTGAAGCAGGCCATGGAGAAAATATTTTAGCGTTGCGAAGCTAGCCACCAGCTCTTCCTATTGTCACGTGAATGGCGAGGCAGGATGATATGATAGAGTGAGACGAGGGGTTAGATCAGACGATGATTAATGATTTAATCATGCGGCTGGCGAGGCGCTTGATCCCCTGCGGGGATCATCCGATTGATTTGTAGCGTTCGCCATTGCTAAAACTCACCTAGGTGAGATATAATTTGGTCTCATTAACAAGCATAGCCATTGGATCAAACTTGCATCGTGATTAGTGTTTTTTTAGCAAATCTGCTAGACTTTATTCATTTAATCGCTACCGGTATTACTCATGTCATGTGGGAGCCCCAACCAAATGTGGCGGCCATGATCCAATTTTACAGCATGCCTAGCTAGATTATGAGGCTCAACATTTGAGCTTCTAGATTCAAATTTTAAACTGCAGGAATTAAATAAAGTTTGGCAAGAAACTATCTCCTTCACAACACTCCACCATAGTTTCCTCCTGATCTCTCTTTAATATGTTTCACCACTGTTTGACAATCAGATGCAATCACCAAATTTTGGAGCCCCAGGTCTTCCGCAAGAGATAAACCCTCCCTACGTGAGATAGCTTCAAGCGTCAGCAGATCTGTCAATCCTCAAATAACAAACACCAAGATCCCATGTATCCTCCATTGCTGCTGCTACATACAGCCGCCACTGCACCAACTCCACGAGAGACGGCAGCGTCGACATTAATCTTGGCGTACCCTTCAGCAGTTGGTATCCATCTCCTCGGAGCTACTACCACCGGATTACTCACCTTTTTTTTAGAAAAGGAGGATGACCTCCGGCCTCTGCATCTGGGAGATGCATACGGCCACTTTATTAATTATTCTCGATAACCATACAAAGTATTACAACAATGTGTCTGAATCCACCATCTTGGCAACATGTGCCGCTACTCCTATCCAATATGATGAGGGGGTGCTAGCTGGGCCACTACCCAAACCACTTACCTAAGCCTAACATCAAAAGCCGGAAGCCGAAACTCATTCGGTAACCCCAGCCGAGCCACATACTGGGTCTGGGGCGCAATCCGGTCAGACGCACTCGTGTGTCGTCGCCGCCATCTTCCACAGGTCCGTCTTCAGATCAAATTGAGGCTTCTACCTTGTCTGGCCAGTCTGCCATCGACGTCCCCATGATGCCAGACAGCTTCCTCCTCCTGCATGAGTCCATCTCCGCGCACGGGTCGCCGCCATCCTTGCCGGGATCTGGAAGATCCCGCAAGCCAGA